TTTATTTTGGAACTTACCCTAGTACATCAGGCAAAACATGAGTATGTATCGATATTAATCACGCGATATATTAGTAGGTATATGATGAGTATCAATATTGTTTAAAATATCAATACAATAAATATCGATTTTTTTCACTTACCCATCTGAGTAAGAGCGTAAAATCAGTTCAAATGACCACGCACACCCTTAATTCAGAGTCCCGATTCGGTGTATTGTGGGCATTAAAGGACAAGCATTCAAGTCAAAAATCTTAATAAAAAAACAGTTCTAATTTCCTTGCTCCGTATTCTAGACAGAGAATTGAACCCCCCCCCCCCCCCCTCAAGCCTATTGAGTACGTAGATAGAGTATTGACTAGATAAAGCATTCGCGTATGCTTTTGAGATAGAAATAGGCGTGAGGTACTTTCACTGGGTTACCAGATATTGTTCCATTTCCCCCGTTATGGGTTTATTTATATTCACAGCACTTACATTCTTACAAAAAACTTAATTGTTACCATAAAAAATGTTCTTTTATAATTCAGATGATTAATTAATTTCTCTTGAAAATACATTCTGTGACAAAAACTACGGGCGGAAACGGCGTAAAAACAGAATCATCATTCTGTATTCAATGGCGCATCGACGATTTTACTGGACATTCAATAAACTCCTTGGATTTTGACGGCACTAAGTGAAGGCGCTAATAGCACAAAGTGTGATATCGCTAATAAATAACAATATGTTATGTATGTACTTAAATATTAATTGAGAATAAAAATATTAAATAAATTAATATTTTTATTCTCAATTAATATTAATATAATTATTAATAAACTACTACTAAAATTTCCTTGTGTCGAGTTTTGTTGTTTTTACAAAAAAAATCAATAATGTTTTAACATACCATTCCATCACAAGTTCAGTGCTGAACACAGACCTTCGAAAGGAAAGGGTTTCCACTTAAGTTTTGTAGTACAAAACGCGGTTATGAGCCTATTCCCGCGATTTCCTGCATGTTTTGTTAAGTTAGTGTCTTGTGTGCGGCAAGTTGTGGCGTACAAGATAATTTGTCTGTACACGGGATGATATTACCCCGCATCGTAAGCAATAATACAAGATGGGGATGGGGCAGCAGCACTTTCCCGATGAAAACTTAAAATAATAAAAAACTGCGGTGGCCATCCAGCATAACGCATATTTTCACGCAGGCGTGGCAACTATGGCAAGTCATCCTATGAGGATATCTATGGAAGGCCTTTTTTAGGTGACTTACTTATGGTTAGGTGGCTTAATCATGTTACCTAATGGTTAAGATGGTAAAATGTTTTAGTTAATATACGTTGTAAAGCATCAACAAAGGATTTTTTTTTGTAATATGTTGGTATATAAAATAAAAACGAATGTTTTATAATATTCTATTTTAAATTACCATGCAGTGTAAGACTATCTGCTACCTCATATCATTCCATGGGTGGTGTATGAGGCGACATAGGGAAACATCAAAGAAGATAAACAGCAGCATTGTCCTGATAACAACTAAATAATGGTTGACAACCCGCTTTCCAAACGTTGAAACTATGCCAAATAACTATAATCATGTTTATGTTCAACAGTGGACTTTTGATAGACTGTAGAGATATATATTCTATTTAAATGAAAATATATTGAAATTTAAAAAGGAAAAAGAACTAAATTTTGTGTACTTACACAACATTTAGAAATATTAACAATGTTACATTAAGTAAAAGAAATGAAAACACAATTATATATTAAATATAATTCAATAAATCAAAATAAACAAACGATTACTTATTAATCACATTAATAAACAACAAATTTAACAAAATTTTTGTCTTCTTTCCTTGTAATTCTTCGTTGTAATTCTTGGTTTGAGTAGCTTTAGAATTTCTCAAAAATGTGCATTTGTAAACTTGATTTATACTTTTGCATGGCAAAAATTCTTGGGTGCTGGTCGTGGTATATGTATATATATATTATTTGCCTTGTATATAATATATTTTAATGGTATAAATAATAAGGTACAACTCCTAAACTATACTTAGAAAAGTAATACTTATCTCTTGTCAAAAACATCTTTATTACATTATTTTTATGACAATTAAATAGAAATTATCATAATTATTACATTTATTTCTTAATTTATTTACACATTAATGTTTATAACACCTTTATAAAAGGGATTAAGGGTGGACTAAATATCCCATTGGTAGGCATTCCCAGTCAGTTTTACAATTATTATTGCATAATAAATTATTCATTTTTATATTTAGGCCAGGACTTTAAATTACTTATTTCTTTATTTTATTTAAATCTTTATTTGCATAAAACATGGTAGTACAGATAAAGTTCCAACATTTGTAAATGAGGATTCATGTTTAATCAATACATCTATAAGTACATATTTTGTCATTGTCATGCCACCCAATTATTACAAGTCATAATAATACAGAATGTCAGCATTTGAAAATAAAATAAGCAATGCTAGTCAATTTTTAATACATACAGAACAATGTCAAAAATCATAACTACCAACAAGATCAAACTTATATCACTTATGGAGAAACAACAAGATACAACAAGAAATTATAACATTTAAAAAAAAATCTTAATTATATTATAATTTACATAAGTTAAGCATATTTAATCGACCTAAAACAATGAGGCTTAAAATGTTTTGAGCATACACTGGTAACTTTTGTTGGTTACCTATAAGCACTACAAGTAGCGATTATCCAACTGTTACGGATAGCTGATTCCTTAGGAAAGCTGTGAAATAATATATTTAAAAGAAATTAATATATTAAATATATAGTACACTTTTATATCAAAGTATTTAACAAAAAAAAATCAAGTATGTGTATCTGTGCATAAATACAATACCTATAACAATTAAAACAATATCAATTGATTTAATTAAATAGCAAGTATATGTAAATGTAATGATAATATTATTCATACCAAACATTTAAAAAAATTATGTACATATTAAGCTTTAGATATTGTTAATTAATACATTTACAGCCTAACAAATGTCCTCCACCGCTGAACATAGACCTCCCACACAGTTTGTCTCCAAATAACTGCAGTTGCCAATTCTCCTGCCAAGCTAGGCAACTATCACAAAACCTATAACTTTTGATACTGACTAATGGTAACGGTAAGTATATTATCATCAAATTTTTTCTACATCATTAATTGAGAATATTATCTTATGTTGTTGTGTTAGTGTGTATCTTAAGATTAAGACTTATTTATTTATTTATTATTTTATCTATATTTATATTTATTTTTATATTAGCATGACATATTTTTTTTTAATAAATATTGTAATGTGATTGTTGCTAATGTATAATAGAATTAATGGAATGCAATAAAGTTTTGTGCATCTGATTTCAGGCAATACATATTTTGTGAAATTAAAAATACTTTGCCCAATATTTATGTACTTGAATCCAAACATGTTTTCAGGTTGATAGTTACATATTATTTGTGACGTCTATGTAATATGGAAAATGATTGAAGAGTTGTAGGGCAATAAGGAGTTTCCTTTAAAGCTGAACATAAAAGTGTATGTATATGTATAACATTATGTGATTCATATTTATGGACATAACTACTAATCACAATAACAATTATTATTGAACAATGCGAAAACATTATTGTACTTGCTGATATCCCTAAAGTTTCTATAATCCTACCAAATACAAAAAGTACGCGTTTGTTATGACTTTAAGCTTTCGAATGACCGTTCAAATTAAGGAGCATTATCATGAAGGATTTACAATTTGGGAGTCCAAATATTTGACAAAATACATCACAAAGTTCATTAAAAACATGAAATGTTACACTTTATATTCAAAACAATAGGTATTAATCAGTACAAGTAGCAAATGTAAGCACAAAACAAACTTACCGATGAAAGGTTATATTATCAATTTTTCGTTGACTGATGCTGTTGCATCCTAAAATGCTACAACTTACCATCTTTTTCACCTTACCTAATAACTAAGATCCACAAAAAACACTAAATTCAATTACCTGTTTGCTTATAATATCAATATTATTCAAAAGAGCTTGACATCGTTAATGTCAAATAAAGGAGGGAAAACAATCAAAAACGCATACCTAGAAAAAGACAAGAAATATAGATTTGCTTCTCCCTTACTCTTATGTCTAACTATATACGTGGATTCCTTTCACACGCTGATGACGTCACTGAATGTTTAGTCTATAAGATACTATGTCTATGATTGAGTATAAATATAAAAAAAAATACTGGCAGAAGTATTTTAAATAGCACATCTCAAAAATATTAATTATATAAACTGCACCCATGTAGATTAGAAATAAAAAACAGTCAAATTCGTTCACCTTATAACGTCGATGTTACTTCAAATAATTAGAATTGGGTACTTTTTACATTATAGAAAAACTGCACCTTGCTTAAATATTATTGCATTATCGTTAAAAATGCATTAAATGCAATGATAAGCTTAAAAATTACTAAAACCAATTTTGTTAAATGTTGATTCGGTGATTTTTTTTTTCAACAAATTGGGTTTGAATCGAATCGAAGATCGATTTTATTTAAAAGAATCGACATGCCTATTCCCGTATATACACTCTTATCTATGATAGGTACATAGCTACATAGTTTACAGAAACCGGTATTCGGCAGTCAGCAGTCTCCACATGCGTACTAATACTGCGTATACGTTGTATCCTCTAATCCTCTATCCTCATTTGGCAGACATCTTGCACAAAATCGCACCACTTTTACGTATCAATATACCAAAATCCAATCCAAAGTTCAAACAAACTCCAAACTTTGAAAACATTGGTCTAAATACCTTTGCAAACTTCAAACCTATATTTAAAACCTTCTAAGGTAAGGCGACGGATACTACTATTAGTAAGGCCTTCTGGGTTTTTAAAATCGATGCTGGCAGCACTGAAGTGACTAGATAACCTAAAAATTTAATTTCAATTTTCAATTGAGTTTATGAATGTACTATTGACAATCAAACAGATATTATGTTTTGTCAATATTTGCTTAATAAGTTGAAGCACATTATAATTAATCATCGTGTTCGACCACTTGCTAGCAGTAAGTTGTTGTTATTATTTCTTTGGACGAGAAAACATAAAATTACAAAAATTCGGTTTAAAAATTAAAAAATTGTTTCGAAAGCTAACTCCCAACTAGTATTTCACAGCATTTTTACTATGTTTTGTATAAAATGTTTTTTTTTCAGGCATGTCTCAAAGAGATGTAGCTAAAAGAATAGTATGGATGGACTTAGAAATGACAGGCTTAGATATAGATAAAGATCATATACTTGAGATAGCATGTCTGGTGACAAATGCTGATCTTGATATTGTTGCCACTGGGCCAAATCTCATCATACACCAACCGGAAGAAATACTGAATAGCATGGGACAGTGGTGTACTGCTCAACATGGTGAGGTATTTAAATTCGTTTATTATAATTAAATTAGTTACTTTATTGGGATAATAAACAGTAGTATTACACATGTACTTTAACAGCCAAACACTATTTGTGACATATGTTTTAAAAATTGCTTGTACGCATCTAAGTAACGATCAAAAATGAATGATGATGGAAACAAAAAGGAAAGAATACTACAACACTTATTTAAAAATATTTTGAAGACAATATTTATAGGCAGATAGTTAAGATACCAGAAACAAGCACTGATTTAAAGGTGATAAAAATTTGTTAGCTAAGGGCCACATAGTGAAATAAAGTGATGTGTCTTACCTAATTTAAAGAACACCTCCCACATACCCTCAATAGGCTATTTGACTAATTTTGGAAAACCATTGTAAATGATTCTTTATTACATAATAAGCGCACTACATTGAATTTCTGGGAGATGTACTGTATTAATAATAAAAATCAAAGTTAAAGTTTAAATTTCCAAAACCACACCAAAAACTAAGATTCTGTAATGGTGATCATGTGACATGTGTGATGTCACACACATATAAACAAGTCAATAACCATATTAAAACAGTGCAGCTGAAGTGAATTTTATTATTCTTCTTCAAATTTATTCTATAAAATGGTGTATAAATGTGGTGCATAGTGGCACAATGTACAAATTCGACTATAAGTAGTCCAGACAAACTGTTTTTTTTCTGTTTCAATGAATCCCAAAAGATGAAAAATGTGGTTACAATTAGCTCGAAGTCACCTAAAGAGCATTTTAGCTCATACCAATGTTTTTATGTTTGAAGATCACTTTAATGTAAGTAATATTTAACTTTATATATACTAGAATCTAATAACTAGATAGTAGCCAAATATCGTATTTTATATAAAGTAATAAAATCTTTAATACCCAACCTCTTAATATGGCTTAATCTTACAGCATACGTTGGAAGGATCCTTTTCAACCAAACCCTAAAGGGTTTCCTGTGTTGTGTATGTAATGTTTTGTGTTATGTTGTTTAGCTATCTTTATAGTTTTATTTAATTTTTGGAACAAAGTTTATCGAACAGTACAAATTTGGGGGGTGCGAGCTAGGCGAGAAAAAGTGTAAGATTTTTCCATCATGACCCCTTCTGACATAGTGTAGACGGCCTTGGCTTGGCTTTCCTATAAGGAAGAGAGATGTAATAATATCCATCGCCCTCGCACTGTTTCTTATCTTGCCATGAAAGGAATATTAGTTTTTTTACATGACGCTTTATTTTAATAGACGCTAGCAGAGATGGAAAAAATCATGATTATTTTAATTTTAATCAAATCATGCATGATTTTTTTTAAAAAAATCATGATTTTTTTGATTTTTTTTGAATTTTTTGATTTTTTTGTATATTTGGAAATACACGAGTTGGTAACACTTTTTAACATAGTAGGATTAAAAGTTTATGAATACACTAGCTGTTCCTCGCGACTTCGCCTGCGTGTTATTTGGGGTTTTAGTTTTTTTGCACGGAACCCTAATGGTTACTCCTTATGACATCTGCTATCTGCCAGTGAAAGTCCCGTCAAAATCGGTCCAGCAGTTTCAAAGATTAGCCGAAACAAACAGACAAACAGACAGACAAAAATTAAAAAAAATGTATTTTTGTTATACGTATCGTATATACTTTCATATAAATTTAGTAAAAAGCCGTAATTTTGACATTACAAACAAACACTTCAATTTTATTTATTTGTGTAGATATGTATAAGACTGATTAAGAGTAAAATAATTAATACATACTGTATTAATTACAGTTCATATATATATATTAAGAGTGAATTTCTAAAAAATAAAAAATTTGATTTTAAAACTGACAGATCTCATCACTACGTCTTTGTTGATTTTCCAAAGTTTATGAGACTATTGTAGTAGAATAATAAGAATAACATAAAACAACAAAATATTTTACTTTATTTTAAGCCAGTTTTATTTCATTTTCTGCCTATTACATTAATTTATACATGTTGATTTAAATCAATGATTTTTTTTAATCAAAATCAGGCGATTTAAATTGTGATTTAAATCATGATTTAAATCAGTCTGATTTAAATCAGCCAACCCTGTGACGCTAGTAATTAATTTATTTGTATTTGTTAATCAGTAATATAATACTTTTATCAATAATAATATACTACAAAAGGAACTTCATTCCAACCGAGTGGTCCAGAATACTCATGCAAGTTTTTTTTTTTAATTTACAAGAAATTTCTGAGTACTTAACCTAAAATGAGATTTTACAAAACTTCTAAATGATGATCATACATAAAGGTTTGTAAATAAATGATTGCTATGTGGTACTTACACTGCTCCTTTCACATTCTTATGTTCCGTAGCATAGTAATCAGTGTTATTTTTAATGAAATCTACAACCATAAATCCATCTATCTTCAGTAGGTTGCTGTTATTGGCTCATGCAAAAGTTGTCTCCATTTTGATATTCAAAACGAATATTTATGCCACTGGTTATAAGATTTATCAAAAAAATGTTTGAGAAATAGTTCAAAGTTTTGAATATAGCGCCTAAAACCAGAACACCAACTACAATCAGTCAAGGTAGCTATGTTTACTTGTGTGTGATATCACCAGCTTTGCAACCAATCACAGGGCATTCCGGCCACAGATAAAATTTCAAAAATTATTATGTTTTATGTTCAGTTTATTTTGCATAAAATATATACGTATTTTGTGCAAGTTTAAAATCAAGTGAAATATATTTTTTTATGCTATTATCTGATAGGACGACCACAATTTGTAGAATATTTTTAAAGTTGTCAAATAGCCTATTGTGTGCACTAACCTCGTCATCACTAATCCCAACACCACTGCTTTCAACACCACAACACTAGGTACACCTAGATAAGTTTTAACATATTTAATATAATTGATTTCTTCTATTAACCACTTATTTGTCATTTTTCTATCTACTACATTTGAGTATTAGTAAATTATTGTAATAAATGGGATATAACAGAAAAATGTTTACTTTTTTCTGAGTACTTATTGTAACAAGTCAAAGTCCACTGCTAGACATAGGCCTCCTCATGCTTTGCATCATAGGGAGGATATTTGCTATAATTGCCACTCTTGACGGGCGGGTTGTCAACCTCGGTTATTTATTATTTTGAGTTGATATCAGAAAAATTTTGCTGTCCATCTCGTCCTCTTATACCCTCTGTCGCCTCTTATAAAACCCATGGGATCATATGGGGTAGTGGATTCTTTTGCACCGACCCTAATCGTACTAAATTCATTGAAGGATTGATACATTAATACATCATTTTCACATATAGAGAGGAAGAATTTATATTATCATAACTAAAATATATTACAAGTATTATTATATATATTTTTTATTTCCCAGTTATGCAGGTTTTCTCACTGTGTTTTCTCTAACCATGTGGCAAATTAGTGGTACCTACAATGATTAAATTTAGGTTGTTGGGGTGTGAATTTTAAAAGGTGAATTTAAATAGCTCTATGCAGAGTTGGTAGAGTCACATTGCAGCATTTTATGTCTACTGCACAAATGGATCGGTTTCACTGTGAAAGAACCATGTTTAGACCAGTGTGAAATAGCTTTATGATGCTGTGATTTGTATGGCGAGTGAAAAGCACCAGAGACTCATGTTACTGGTAACAAGGCATTTCATCTTATTCCTTAGTATTGATACAACATTTGCCTTTTGACTTATACGAGGGCGGCACTGAAAATTTCGGGAATCAAGGAAGTGACCATGAAGCAAATACAAAGAGGAGACGTTGTAAATAAATTTCACTATGTAACAACGCGTGACAATTTGCGGGGTGAGGGGATGCAAAGCCCCGCCCACTTTACACTATCTACATCTACCGATAAATAGTAAAACTACTCGAATCTTTCCATATCGATGTTGCAATGTAGCTTAGCTACCTTGACGGTAGATGGCGGCATGTCCACAAAATGTTATAAACTATGAAAATAATATTTTGGCGATTAAAATTTCTTTATGTCTGAATGCAAAACAAATTTCAGCACCTTCGTATGATTATCTTATCATTACTGAGCTCTACGTACCTTTATATTTTTAGTTCACAGGACACAAAGTGTCGCCATCTAGTGTGGAATATATTTAATTATATTTGAAAGCCGACGCAAAGAGATTTTCTAGAACTATTTTAATAAATTAGGTGTAAAATTACTTACAAATGAAATGTGATGCCATCCATAGCCTCGGAGCGTCTATCTCATGAAGCAAATACATTCAGACAAAGTTTTCATTTCATAATAATTTTGGGAACAGGCCGCCATCTATCGTCAAGTAAGCCTCATAAAAAATAACAAAAAGACAGGGCCGCAATTAGAATTCAATTATTTTACCGAGTAACCCAACATTCAATATTAAAATGAAGGAAATTGTACTTGGCTGATTTTTACGAAATGTTTAAGATATATTTAAGTGATATTCTATATGCAAAGAATCACTTAAATACAATTTAAATATGTTTATCATTTCGTGAAAGTCAACCTTCAAGAAATATTTATTTTATCCATAAAATAAAGCCTCTTTGAAACTATGTTCAATATTAAGTAGGATATTTAATTTGGAACTAGATATCCTACTTATCTCACTACTATTATAAAGGCGAAATTTTGTGTGTTCTTTCTGTCTCCTTGAGCTTATTCCACAATAAGTATGTGTAATTTTTTCACGCAGAAACGGCTGGACTATTATTTATGTGTGGGTTATACTACTTAATATCTCTGAGGGAGAACAAATAATAGAAAAATTATTGAAATTAATATAATTTTATTTACAAATCAATTAAAATATAAATATTTTATTCCAAATTAGGCATCCGAATGCACTTTTTGAATGCCAGTATAAGAACATTAAATTGTATTTAAGTGATTCTTTGCATATAGAATGTCACTTCAATATAACTTAAACATTTCGTAAAAATCACCCTAAGTACGATTTCCTGCATTTAATATTAAAAGTTGGATTACTGGGAAAAATTATTGAATTCTAATTAGGGCCCTGTCTTTTCATTTTTATGAGGTTTACTTGACGAGAATACGAACTGTTCTCAAAATGATTGTAAACTATAAGAATAATATTTTGCGATTAAAATTTCTTTATGTTTGAATGCAAAACAAATTTCAACACCTTCGTATGATTATTTTACCAATACTGAGCTCTACGGATCTTTATATTTTTAGTTCACATGACACAAAATGTCACCATCTAGTGTCGAATATATTTAATTATATTTGAAAGCCGACGCAGAGATTTTTCTAGAACTATTTTAATAAATTTGGTGTAAAATTATTTACAAATGAAATGTGATGCCATCCATAAGATCAGAGCGTCTATCTGAGTAGTTTTTACACAATAAAACACAACACTTCATCCTTTTCTTCTTAATACTACGAAAATACACCGATTTGCGATTTTTTCAACACATAAGCGCACAGGACGAATGCTGACAGTATACTAATTAAAGCCACGCCCACTATGATGACGTCAGGACCTACTTAGAATCACAGTGCACAGTTGCTTATGCCGTCTCCCCTTTGTATTAGCTTCATGGAAGTGACACAACATTACTATTTAAAAATGTATTTATTGCTTTTCGAAGTATTCTCCGCGAAATTTGACACATTTTTCCTTACGATGGAACCAATCATTGAGGCAACCATTCCATTCGGAAGTTGGGGTCTCCAAAATGGCCGTTTTACAGCTTCTTCAGGTGATGAAAATCTCTGTCGACGCAATTTATTGTTTATTTTAGGGAAAGTATAGAAATCATTAGGGCTTAGGTCGGGGCTGTACGGCGGATGGTTTAATAATTCTATGTTTTCTTGCTCTAAAAACTCTTTTGTTCTGTGTGCGGTGTGAGAACTCGCATTGTCGTGATGGAGGATGATGCGGCGGTTGCAGTTCTCTTTACGGAGTTCAGAAACGACCTGTGGCAAACAAATGCTAGCATACCATTCTGCATTAACCGTTCTTTGTCCCTCAAGAGGAATAGTCGTAACATGGCCGGTTTTGGAGACAACCGTGGCCACCATTTTTTTGCGACGCTGCGTGAACGAACACTTTTTGTTGGCTTTAACTCATTTTCGAACACCCAAACTCATGACTGGTTTTTTGTTTCGGGTTCGTACGCGTAGGTACATCCAGGATTCGTCACCTGATACGATGTTGTATACAGCATTTGAGGATCCTGCGTGGAATCTTTCGAAAGTTCTGACGCACCAAGTAACGCGAGCCGCTTTTTGCTCTTCACACAGCAAATGCGGTATCCATCGGGAAAACAACGTTTTTTACACCTAATTGTTCATGCAAGATTATTTGTATTTGACTCATGCCAATATCTAAAGTTGCCTGAATTTCGCGGTATGTCACATGTCGGTCTTCCTCAATCAGCTTACGCACAACATCAACGTTTTCTTGGGTGACTGCAGTTTTTGGACGACCTTGACGGGGCTCATCACTTAGCTTGACACGTCCACGTTGAAATTCAGCAAACCAGCGATAAATTGTGGTTTTGGATGGGGCTTCATCACCAAATGCAGAAATCATCCGTTTAACACACTGTTTTTGTGTTAAACCACTTCGAAAGTCATAATAAATCAGCGTTCTTGAATTTTCTCGAGTCAATTCCATTTTCTCAACGACTAAACAAGTTTGATAAAACCTTGTGGCAAGATCGAGAATCTTTTTTTAAATAAATAAATTAAAGTAAGTAATTAAGTAAAGAGTTTTCAATTAAAAAGATTTTAATATGACAGGAACAGTGGAAATATTCTATTCCCGATACTTTTAGTGCAGCCCTCGTCATTGGGAAAATTAAAGTTGGTAAATAATTACCTAGCGGACATCCGCTCGATAAAATAAAATTATTTGTCTTACCTAGTTTGAAGAGCACCTCCCGCCCTCCCTCAATTGCGTGCACTTTCCCCGTCCCCATTAATCCCAGCACCATTACTCCCAAAGGAAAGACACACCACTGACGACAATACGACACGTATTTTGCCTCTACAGCGGATGTATGTGAGGAAATTTTTTACCAACTTTAATATATAATGGATTACCGCAAAGTAACGACTGATTCTATTAATTATCATAATTGGGAATTGAGCAACTGGGCAGCCAAGCTTTGCTTAGCGTTAGATGTAAAATATAATCCTCTCAGGCATTACAATCTCTGCAAACAAAACATTAGAGTAGTGTATTACATTATTTATTTTTGTCCAGCTGTTGAATCGTGAGAGTTGGAATATTAAAAGAACATAAAATAAAAACTGAACCTGCAGGGCACTCTTACCATTAGGCTATTGAGATGATGTACTCTGTGGCGAAATTACCAATCATAGTATGCAGTCCTGGTTATTCTCACTATATTATTGTATCAAAAAGAGATTTCCCAGAAGAAAGACCAAGCTAGATCGATTTTTCGCCCCATAAAACCCCTATATTATAAATTGCATCAAAATTGTTAGAGACGCTTTGGAAAGAAAACAACGTACAAATATATATTTGTTTGTAACAAATATATATTTGTACGTTGTGGAGCCATGCTGCAACTATATTATAGCTGTATCACGAATGGCTCTGCTCGACCAGGCAATGAACACACTCTTACAGAATACCAGCATAAAATAGCAGTTTAATGCTTCTGTGTTTTGTATAGTGAGAGTAGAGAATTTGAGACCCATTTTACTTAGAAGGAACAGAATGGAAAGGACCCATTACGTCTTAATTCTAAAACACATCTACATGTTGATTCTTATTTCAGGATAGATGTATATGTCATCAGGTGGACTGTAGCTTTGGTGATTATTGAAGTAAGGGTGACACTCTTACTTTACTACTACTTCTAAAAATATAAATAAATTAAACTTAAAAGTGACATTGATATTCACAGTTTATGTTTATTACCTTTATTAAATAAAAAAATCGACCCTGATGAATGTGTGCATGCGCATTAAAATCAGTTAAAATAATGCAATGTATATTACTTACTCTAAACTTTCTCTGCAAATTTGGCAGGTTATTACAAAATAACCGTGTATAGTGTTTAGATGTTTATGAAATTTTTAATTTATAAATTATCTTACAGAGTGGACTGACGGAGGCTAGTCGAAATTCGTCCCTGTCAATACAAGAAGCTGAAAGACAAGTTTTAGAATTTGTTAGTCGCCATGTTCCTGAAAATAGAAGTCCCTTAGCAGGCAACAGTGTTTACATGGATAGATTATTCATACGTAAATTCATGCCAAAACTGGATTCCTATTTACATTATAGAATTATTGATGTTAGCACAATTAAAGAGCTGGGAAAGCGGTGGTATCCAAAGGAGTTCTCTAAAATACCTCAGAAAAAATTTAAACATAGATGTATGCATGATATCACGGAGAGTATAGCAGAATTAAAATATTATAGGGAAAATATTTTTAAAAACTAGCTGTGTGGGGAATGACTTCGGAAAGGGCTATAAAAAAAGAACAAAAGTAGTGGATTGTACTCATTTACAACATTGAAGCATAATTTCTTACATGGCATAGATTGCGTAAATATCTCTATTTGGAGAAAAAAATACATGTATATAATATTTTTGACTCATTTCTTAAAAGAAAAAATATGACAAAGGTTGTAAACAAGGTTGTCACATTTTTTGCGTACCATAGAGATTTTAAGTGATGTAAGTACCGTTCGCAAAATGGAATATTTTTAGGACTGTGATTGCTAATCCGTAAACCATATAATAAAATTATATGGTTATAAGTTATAACTATAATTATTAACCTCTTACTTATTGGGTCACTCAAGCGAACGTCATTCCTTAATACGGGCTCATGTTTGCGCAAGTTTCCTACTTGACGTTACTTTATTATATTTTCGACGTTAATTTATTATGTATATATTTTAAAACAACTTTAGCTAAGTTTTTAAAAATTGACATCAATTCTAATTATAAAACTTAAAATGGCAGTTTTTGATTTTTAATGCTTTAATTATTAATATTTTATTTTTTACACCTAAATGTTAATAATAAAATCAACATTTTTGGCAATACGGCACTTGCTTTTCAGATTATTGTTTACGAAAACATTAAGTATATAGTCTCTTAGTGATACAAACAACAACAGCACTAGTTTCATTAACACAAGATCAACTATTCTTCCATTAACAAAGATACAGACGTACTATATACTTAATTTAGTGATAGGTGTTTTTCAATTAATCAGCTGTTGTTTTTATCGATAACAGAAATGACCAGTGGAATGCTATAAGCGATATTTATAATAAATTTTAGTAGTAGTGTTAACTGGTTTAATAGGTGGTAGAGCTATGCTGCAGCTAAGCAGCTATGTATATAGCCGCAGCGTGAATGGTTTTGTTCGACCTGCTGGCTGCTGTGTTTTGTGCAGTAAATTTAAAAAATTGAGGCCCCTTTTTACTAAACGAATGAGGCATTCTATTAGCATGTCATCAGGCATTCCTTCTTAGTACTCAGGGTTGATAATTTTTTTATTCATCTGCATTACAATTCTATATTAAAGGTAGATGTAGATGTCTACGGGCCACAGCATCCACTTACCATCAAGTAGAGTGTGCGCTCACTGTGTGACAAAGTGTGACAACTTTTGATATAATTTAATAAAAATGGAACAGTTATGCCCACTATGTACTACAATTTTAATTTTATTGTTATTTTTAAACGGTGCCTCAATCTGGATATCGTTTAAAATAGCGACTGTATAAAATAGATCAAGCTGTCTAGTGTTAGTACAAAGTTAGTGTGGCGGCGCTGTCGTCGCGCCACAAGCGAAACACATCGAAACCTAAATCGCACTAACAAAGTTCCGAAGTTAAAAGCAGTATATATAGAATAGCTCCGAACTACCAATCGGAGCGTTGGCCGCTCCCCGGGCAGAACTCCTTGCCTGGCGGGAGATCTCCCCTTTTCCACCCGCCACTGTGGTGACCAACCGACGTGATATGAACACGCAACCAACAACCTTCGGAAACTACAACTTCAAAAAAACCTTCGTCATCGTCCTCAAGTAACCCCATTCGTTCGCTACCGAGCAGATATTGTCTGCAGTCTTCAGCATTCTGCAAGCCATCTAGCTTTATAAAGGTTCATCGCAGCACTGGAATAATAATGCTTCCTGTTCCTTCAAGCTACTCTCTGCGCTACAGTGTTCGGCACGGCTCTGAGCCTTACTGCTCGCCTCTGCTTCACGTCACTCTCGCAGATTGCTTGACTTCTTCTTGACTCACCGCAGACTACAAGGCAATCCCTGGTACTTGTTCTGGCTCATCGTTCTCACTGGCATCACTTGCAAGTGCGTAGTACGGCATGCATTACACACCGGCATATAGTTCGCACCGGCGTCATTTGCCCTTACACACACAGCAGGAATTCCCCACCGGCATTAAGGACGCACTGGCAATCGGACTGCACTATCGACCTCCGGTCTGAGCAGGGGGGTGATGTGGCGGCGCTGTCGTCGCGCCACAAGCGAAACACATCGAACCTAAATCACACTAACAAAGTTCCGAAGTTAAAACTCTTTTTCTTGCTCGCAATACACCATCTTCTATTATGGGGTCGAGCTTCCTCAAGGCGCTGCCGTTGACCAAATTCTTCCTTTGCTGGAGTCGGCTGATGTCTTCAGCAAAACTGTCGAGCTGGCTGCGTTTTATCCATAGCCGCTCTGCTCTCTGGATGTGCTGTAGGGTTAGTTCTTGAGCCCTTCCTCGCATGGCGTCGATAAACTGCATGATCCTTGCTGTGGCCCTGATCAACTGATCCACAATCCAAAACCTGGTCAACAATGTCTGGCAGGTGTGGGGAGTCCTTGATTTCGACGTGATGCGCCACGATTTCCTCTAAGTTGTCATCTTCCCCTGCCCTCCCTTGTTTTTGCTGTGGCCATTCGCTTTCTTCCTTGTAGGGAAATGACGGTCCGGTGAACCATTGATCGCTTTCTCTCGTGCTTACGAAGTTCATGCGCGTTATTTGGTCTGCTATATTATGTGCAGTTGGGATCCATCTCCATTGATCGGGTGAGGTTTTCTCGGCTATCTCACAGAGTAGATGAGCTACATATGGAGTGTAACGCGCTGTATCGTTCCTTATCCAGTGAAGCTCCGTAGTAGAGTCCGTCCAATATATGACCCTATCTGCTCTCACTCTGTGTTCGATCTGCACGAATTCCGCGAGTCGCGCGCCTATTAAATTCGCCTGTAGCTCTAACCGCGGTATACTTTGCGCCTTAATCGGGGCGACTTTCGACTTTCGTCTTATTAACGTAACCCTAACCGTATCTTCGCGATACCGGATACGCCAATATGCTGCGGATGCGTACGCGCGTTCACTTGCGTCGTTGAATACGTAAAGTTGACGCTCTACTAGTCCCCCCGTAGGACCATAGCATCTCGGAAGTCGCAGTTGTGATAGTTCTTCGACGACTTGCAGCCATCTCTGAAACTCGTCTCCTACCTCCTCGGGTAGTTCATCATCCTATCCGACCTTCTTCACACGCCACAAATCCTGCAGCAGGATCCTCGCTGTGATTGTGAGGTAGCTGAGCAGACCGAGTGGGTCCAAAACCGACATTACTGCGCTCGACGCCTCTCTCTTGGTCGAGGAGGTTGCGATCGAGGAGGTCGATGGAGCTTCTTCACATCGTACGGCATTCTATTCATGAGAGAATACTTTTGGATGGAGAGACCTTTGGGGTCCTTAGGTTTGAGGTTGGTCTCCTGGAGGAGGAGGAGGAGGTCGGCTTCGCGATCTCGTAAAAAGAGCTTAAGCTCAAGGAGGTTATTATGCAAACCGCGGATATTAAAGGAAACAAGCGATAAACCCTTAGGCTTAATACGACCGAGACGTACGGTGAGAGCAGAAGGCTCTGACATTATTTTAAGTTAAATTAATTTAACTTACAAGAGCAAGGAAACGTTCCTGAGGGGACTGAGCAGCGTGCTAGGATGGCAATCTCCCCTGTGTCGATGCTTCTAATAACAGAATAAACTGTATTCAGGTCATCAGCCAGTGAGGATTGTGCTTGGTGTGGGGCGGTGGATGTCCGCGGGGTTCAGCCTTTTTGGGGCCCCAGGGGAAACGGGAAAAGCCCAGAGGGTTCGAGGAGGGCCCTAAGGGGCCTAGGGGGACCCTGAGAACGCCTGATGGGGCTGGGAAAAGCCCTGACGGGGCATTTTTGCTGGGAGAGCCGGGAATGAATTATCATTGATTGGCGGTGGAGCTGGTTTGGCAGCTTTGGTAGGACGGGGGCCAGGAGCGCGAAGACAGCCTCTGTAGTTGGCCGGGTGGCCAGACAGCTGGCATAGGACGCACGCGGGTGTGGATTTGGTATTACGGGCTGAGGACACTTTTGAGCTATGAGGGTCTAGGCAATTAACGCACCTGGGGGTGGGGGGTGTGAGCAGTTGGCCGTCGCATGCCTATAGAGTTGACAGCGGCGGCACTGCGCCGGATGACGCTCGATATGTGGAGGCTCGACCTTTACTCTCGACCAGCCGCACACGGTGCGTACCTACCGGAAGATGTCTGGCCTCCGGCACGTTAGTCAAGATTACAATAGCAAGCGGGAACCTCTCGCCCTTGTTGCTGTGCATCTTGTGCACAGCCTCGATCTGGAAGCCTTGGGATTTAAGGTCCTCTAGGATGTCCTCGTTGGAGAGTTTGAAGGTAACTCCGCGGATGACAGCACTGACCTTACGCTCTGCCGAAAGAGCGTGTAGGACACACGCTCGGCTGTGAAGAGCCTGGTGACGCGACGAAAGTCGTTGATGTACTGGGGGATTATTATTTCGCCGAGGTTGGTGGCTTGGTCATATTTTATACCTGTGTCGTAACAGGTTTTGGAAAGTCTGGTAAATTGGCCTTTGTCTCTGAGGAAGACTGGGGGCGGGACCTGTTTCTTAGCGAGGGTGAGAGTGCAGCGTGATGCTGGCTTGGAAGGGGAAGGGGATGTCTAATTACATTAGGGGGACAACGGCAGCGGCGGGGGGTGAGGGTGGCACCAAGGGCTGCCGGGACGGGGGGTGTGCGATTTTTAGTAGCGCGTTTCGGGTCGCGCTTGGATTTCACTTTCGTGAGGGGGGGTTTCGTCAGTTATTGTTCCGTCGGAATCTGTCGACTCCGTGGAGCAGCTATGGATATATAACTATGGATGTATTGTCAGTGTGGGTGGCAGACCTCTTCCGGGAGGACGACTTTACGGACCCGGTGTTCGAGCCACGAGCACTTCATGGCGTTGGAAGCGAAGGACGCGGACGAGTCGCTCTGCGGGACAGCCGTAGAGGTCGCCGGGCAGTACGTGACAGGGGCCGGGGGTGACATGCCTGAGGGGCAAGGGAGGTAAACAATTTGACGAAAACGGTTTCGTCGATTGCAGGTAAACCTAGGGTCTGGTTGTACTGGGTGAGGAAGGCCCTAAGAATGTCCAGAGTGTACATGATTGGATTAGACGTTATACTCAATGGAAACAATGTGGGACTAGACGTTAGAAACAGAACATAAAAACAAAACAATAGTAATAAATGGTCAAATCTCACTGCCGGGAGGCAGGGGGGCAAGAACGGTGTGAAAACAGCTTACTCACAGTCGGCGATTGCCCTGCACAGCGTGAGCGGGAGAGCGAAGGCGCGAGAGCGAGAGGGAACTCAACGTACGGGGACGAGAGCGCGGTCAGCTAACACAACCGTTCGAGAGTGGTGGTGCAAGCGGAATGATCTCGGTGCGGTTTTTTTTGCGCCCAGAAGCAAAGTAAAAGGGCTACCCTCCGGGCAGCGGGGGAAGGAGGTGATGAATGCTCTAAGCATACCTCGCAGCCGGCTGCGTGGTTATGTGGGACCCACTAAACACCACCTGTGGGACTGGCATTGGCCTGTATGACCTTTCTGCCGAATCGGAAGCGACCCCCTTTAGGGAAAAAAGGGGCGCAGGCGGCGAGTAGCCGCTGGGAGGTGAGCCTAACTAAGGCAAATTAAGGACGGGGAGAAGATTAGGCCTGAGCCGCCAGGAGGCAGTCCAGGTCGGCCGAAAGCTTTGGGGGGTCCGAGAGAAAGTTTCTCGGCCTGCGGACTCGATAGCGAGAGGGGAGTGGGGCTGCATAGGAAGCTGCCTCACGAATGAGATGATTTGAGTGAGACTGAGGCTTTGCAGAAGTTCTCAGAGAGATTTTAGAAATTGTTGGATTGTGGGGACCTCTAAGTCTCGATGGAGATCGGCATTACGGACGTACCAGGGTGCGTTCGTAGCCTGACGACAGAAGTGGTTTTGAACTATTTGGAGTTCGTTTAAGATTTTGGGTTTAGTTTGCGCAAAGATGGGGGCTGCATGTCATGACTGGTCGTATACAGACCTTATATAGGGTTCGCTTGTTACGGTGGGACATTTTGCTGTGTCGGCCCAACATACTGTTGAGCCTACTCAGATAAAAGCGCGCGTTACGAGTTACTCTCTTGACATGGGGCCCGAAGTGAGCCTCGTGTCAAGGGTGACAGCTAAGTATTTGGCGGTCGTATGCCAGGGGACAGGGGTCCCTAGCATACGGATTGGCGGAATGATAGTGGGGCGGCTTCGTTTATGATCGAAGTAAACGGCGGAGCTCTTCTCCGGGTTCACATCGATACGCCATTTTTGGAACCAAGCTCCTATGTCATTAACTGACTTTGGATCTTGTTCCGTAGACAAGGTATTGAGATACCTTTACAGTATAGGGCAGTGTCGTCTGCAAAGAGGGTGAGCTGAACCCCATTCGAGGGGATGGGAATATCGTTGGTGAACAAGATGGAGCCTCATGCGAGTGAGGATGACTCGTACAAATAGTTTGCCCATGACCTTGAGGAGGCTGATGGGACGGTGTCTGGAGGGGAGGTGGTGAGGCTTTCCTGGCTTGGGGATACCAATGACAGTTGCCTCTTTCCACGTGGTGGAAAAGTAACTAAGGTTGAAGCAGGCGTTGGAGATAATAGGTAATAGGGTTATCACCTGCACAGGAAAATGTTTGAGGGCTTGGTTGGAGATGCCATCCGCGCCCGGGGCGTTTTTGGGCTTCATTCCTTTGATGATGGATGAAATCTTATCATTGGACACAGTGATAGGGTCAGAGGCTGTGGGGGGTGAGTTTCGGCGGCGGACCTCATCTTCCACTGTCTGATTGTGGGAGGGGTCTGTGGGTTGTGAGCTAGAAGAGCATTGAGCGGCGATGCTGTCAGCAAAGCACTCAGCCTTTTTCTCGTCCTCGAAGGCAATAGTAACGTCGGGACGGGAGAGAGGGGGAGTGTGAGGGATAGCATCTATGCGGAGGGCTCTCGCCATCTGGTAGTACGCTGTATGAGAGGGAGAGATATTCTCCATGAGATTACTCTTTTTGAGGTCTCGAAGATCAGAAAGGCGTGATCGGACTTCTAGTTGAAGACGATTGGCCGTACACCTATATTCAGGGGTGGGATAGAGTGCTGCTCTCAGGAAAGCAGCCCTCTTGGCTTTCATTAGGTTGCTAATATGTAGGGGAAGGCTATTATTATTAGCAACCGGGACGACCCTTTCACCTTAAGGGAGGATTTTATAAGGGTGGTGAGAGAATTGACCGCGGTGTCGATTTTGTCGATACTGTCGAAGTCCGACGAGAGGGAGATGGGGGAGTCCTTAGCTAGGAGTCCATAACTGTGGCTAAGGACTCCTTGAAGCCCTTTCACTTGGTGAAGGTTTTCGTGAAAAGGGTTGAGGGAGGTGGCTGATGACCAAGAGTGAGGGAGACAGGGCGGTGGTTGGATCCTAGATCGACAAGAGTCGATTGCCCTGAGGTTGAGGGAAACTCCTTTAACTATCGCAAAGTCTAGTACGTCAGGAGCGTGGTCGGTGTTGTCGGGATAGTGAGTGACACCGAGGGGACTGTTAACGGTAAGGTCAAGAGACTGCGTGATATCAAGCAGTTTCTTGCCACTATGAGAAGTAGTAAGATAGGTCCATTCAGTATGCTTGGAGTTAAAATCTCCAAACATAATGACTGAATTGCCAAAAGAAAGGATAGCCTCAAAATCTTTTTTTGGGGTAGGGTTCCACTAGGGATGTAGCAGGAGGCTATGATGATGGACTGATGTCCAGTCAAGGCTAGCCAGCATACCGTGGCTTCCATGTTGGTGAGATGCGAAGTGGGGATGTGGGAGCAATAAAGTATCTTCTTGTAGTAAATGGCAGTACCGCCGCCTTTGCAGTCAGGTCTGTCGTTACGAAGAAGAGAATACTTTTGGATGGAAAGGTCCTTAGTTTTGAGGTTGGTCTCCTGGAGGAGGAGGAGGTCGACTTCGTGATCTCGATGAAAGAGATAGGAGGAGAGGAGATTATGCTCGGGGAGGTTATATCGCAACCCGCGAATATTAAAGAAAACAAGCGATAAACCCTTGGGCTTAATACGACCTTGAGACTTTGGGAGAGCAGAGTGCTCTGACATTATTAAGTTAAGTTAAATTAATTTACAACGAACACAAAAGGTTGTGATGCTCAGCAAGAGTAAGGAGACGGTCCTGAGGGGACTGAGCAGCGCGCAGTTTGCATGCTAAGATGGCAATCTCCCCAATGTCGTTGCTCCTAATAGCAGCATACACTGTATTCAGGTCATCTACCAATAAGGATTGTGCCTGTTGTGGGGCGGAGGATGTCCGCGGGGGTTGGCCTTTTTTGGGGCCCCAGGGTAAAACTGGAGGCTGTGAGGGCTGACTGAAGCCCGGAGGGGGCCGAAGAGGCCCCTGAGGGCGCCTAGAAGGACCCTGAGGGGGCCGAGCGGGGCCCTGAAGGGGCAGGGAAAGGCCCTAACGGGGCATTTTAGCTGGGAGAGCCGTTAATGACTTGTCATTGACCGGCGGTGGAGCTAGTTTGGTGGGAAGAGGTTGAAGAGCGCGAGGGCAGCCTCTGTAGTTAGCCGGGTGGCCAGACTGCTGATATAGGACGCACGCGGGTGGGAATTCAGCGTTTTGTGGCTGAGGACACTCTTTCGAGCTATGGGGGTCTAGGCACTTAACGCACCTTGCAGAGCAGTTGGCCGCCGCATGGCCATAGAGTTGGCAGCGGTGGCACTGCGCTGGGTCACTTTTTTTTATGGGGGAAATCCTCATGGACTACCTCCGCCTGGGGAAAGGCGGAGGGGCGTGCCGGACTCTTACCGGCTAAAACCACCCCGGTGTCTCCTCACACGTGCGCGTGGGGCCGCGGGAATCCAAATTTTCCGCAGCCCCACACTAGTGCTGGCCCGGTCTGTCCGGGCCTCGTCTCCTGCACGGGGTAGTGAGGTATTCAACTACCCCGTGTATCGCCTCAGGGGCGCGCGCCGACACCCGCGCGCGCCTCCGCCTCGGGTCCATCGAGTAGGGGTGGCGGGGGCTTCCTCAAGTCCCTCGCCTCTGGACCCATTCATGGGGGCCGGAAAAGGGCGTTGTCCGCTCTTCTCCTGCGCCCGGTGCGCCTTCTGCGGCCAGGGAAGGGAGTCGAGATTTCCCTTTCCCGTTCCCCAGTTTCCTTCTGCGACATCACGTCCTCGCAGAAGGACACCACCGCATCCCGCGACTCTGCGCTACCGACCATCTTCCGCACTAAGGCCGGCAGCGACAGATCGCCTCCTACTTTATTTGTGAGGACACGGCGCTGCTCCTTCCAAGCTACACACTCGGCGAGCGTGTGTTGCGCCGGGTCACCTCGCCTAAGTGGGGGCTCGACCTTAACTCTCGACAGGCCGCACACGGTGCGTACCTGCCGGAAGATGGCTGTTGACTGAAATCGCCGATGCACGATGCGGAATTTCTTCTGCTTATTTGTAGTTGTAATTTTCGAAAAATCATCTTCATTGTTTATAAATATCTAACAATTTCATTAATATTTATCAATTTCATCGACTTTCATATAATACAAGATCTATACTGCAGTTGCTAGTTTTTCCAAGATTTTAAATTCAGGCAATTTTTTTCGTATACTATAACATATTAGGAATATAAAAAAGTTTGTACTTTTTGGCTTACTATACTTTGAATGATTATTTTGACGATGCATCATACTTATAAACAGGTGCTGATTAGCTTGGATTTACTACTCACTACTAGCTCCAAATTTTTGTATATTTTTTTGTTTTGTGTAATAGAATTTCTTTATTTACTGATACATCTATTCCTTTTCAATTTTAAATTTTAATTAAGACTAATATATCATGGGCCGTTACAAAACTGACAAAACAAAGGATATTTGCAGTCTCATTCGCCGTTTCTTTCGGGCAGAGGACCGCTTTTTAAAACGATAGAAGATTAAAAACATGTTGATCTTAGACAAACGAAGTTTAAATTCCTTACGTAATAAAAAAGAAAGGTCCAAAGAGTATTCATAATCACTATACACTTTTACGTGGAAAAGTTGTGCGAGGGAGTAAATTCCTAGTAAATCGCACAGCGCCATCAAGCATCCAGATTGTGTTTATGCTAAATGTTCTATTATGTTTTTTTTAAATATTATAAAGAGA